ACCACAGGCGCCCGCCACAACGCCCGGCCATTTTTTGGTTGCAGCCGTCATTGTTGTTTTGGCGGGTCCGGGCTGGGGACTCGAACCCGCCACCCCAGGTGTACGTGGCTGACGCCTTAGCCGGTTGAGCCACAGGCGCCGAGCCAGGCACACTTTTCTTAATGTTATTTTGAGGATTAAACGAAATAGCGGGTATGAAGGCATTAAGAAGAACCGGGCTGCTAACGCAGTGCTATAAAACATCTTGATCCCCCACCCTCCCTTCCCCGTCTAAAAGTCTTTGGTAATTTCTAACTGTTAAAATTTGGACCCAAGAATACAACTAGGATGTGTCCAGCCCTTCGGAGTGTTGTTAGGGCCACTCCTTGTTGCTCCTGCCCCTTGGAGAGCCCCCATTGTGTCCACTGGCTTTCAAGGGGCAGGAGGCACTCTGGGGTTGGGGCCCCTGGGATGGTAAGAGGAGGAATGATGTGATGTCTGAGGGTGCAGATGGACTGCGGGTGTCCTTGCTGCTGAGAGGCAACACCAGGGGGACACTGTTGTGTGTCATTCCTGGCTGGGCTGCTAGTTCAGTGCTGTGTTAATGTGCCAGTATTGTAGTCCCTATGGGGCTGCAAGCACCAGCACTGTTTTGTTGTATAGCCCAGGCCAAGACCCATACTAGTTAAATAGTTCACTCAGAGTCACCCAAGCCTCAGGCGGTGGGGACAGAACCTGGCACTGACTCGCTGCCACCCCTCTGGCAGGGCTGTGTGCTTCTCTGTCTCCCATGCTGCCACTGGCATGGGACTTGGAGGGGTGCTCAGCAGGTGGCTGTCCTTGTGTAGTCTTTTTAGGTTGTTTGAGGTGGGGTGTCATTCTGGATTGTCCAGCTTAAATCTGCTGCTCTTGGAAGGGTATGAGTCTCCTTGTTTAGCCGTCCTTATGTTTTCCAGGGCTGAAGAAGATGCAGAACAGTCTGAAGCGTGTAGACTGTGTTGTTGAGGTCCATGATGCCCGAATATCCTTCACAGTGGGAGGTGGCCCCTCTTCCTCAGGAGCAGGGAGCTTGCTTTGCCACCTGGTGTCCATCCACTTCCCCTTTCTGGCCCCTGCCCTCATCTGACCTGCTTCTCACAGTAGCCATTGTCCTCATCTCTTTCTTTGGTTTTCATCTCACTACACGGTGGGATTACCTGGGGAGGCTTTTAGAAATAGCAGTTGCTGGGCCCCTTTCTGGAGCAGTCACATCTGTGCTGTGGGGCTGCATTGATATGTCCCATTGCTTGTCTTGGCCTGAGCCTAAGCTCAGCCAATACTTCCAGCACAGTCCAGCGGTAGAATTCTCTAGATGGGACCTGAAACCTCAGTTTAAATGTTCTCACTAACTAGGCTTTTCTCTTGTGCTTGAGGAATGAATTGGTGAGATGTGATTTGTTTATTGATAAGTATAATTCTCAGACCTTGTTTTTGTTGTATTTGAGCTATATTTAGATTCTCTCTCTTTTTTTTTTTTTTTTTGAGACAGAGCCTCAAGCTGTCCCCCTGGGTAGAGTGCCGTGGCATTACAGCTCACAGCAACCTCCAACTCCTGGGCTCAAGCGAGTCTCCTGCCTCCACCTCCCAGGTAACTGGGACCACAGGCGCCCGCCACAACGCCCGGCTATTTTTTGGTTGCAGCCGTCATTGTTGTTTGGCGGGTCCAGGCTGGGGATTCGAACCCGCCACCTTAGGTGTACGTGGCTGGTGCCTTAGCCAGTTGAGCTATAGGCGCCGAGCCTAGATTCTCTTTATATAATAGAAGTGTTGGCTTTAGAGTTGTTAACACCTGCCTCGTTCACCCCAGAAGTGTGTGAGGAGGTTAAACCAGCCCTAAACCCTAGGGAGATCCAGTTTCACTGTAGCTTCTACTGCTGGAATTCACTGGGAATTAATGGAGAATGAGAGACTGTTTTTAGTGTTTTAAAAGAGAGACTTTTTAAGGGTTGTTTGCAATAAAGGATAGGATTTCTTTGCTTTGGCTGTAAATACATTAATTCTTGCAATATCTTATACTGGCCGAAAGTGTTTTCTGACAATTTTGTTGTTTACTTATTAAAAGATAATGGTGCTGATAGGTATTATTTACTGTGATGAGAGGACATTCTTTCTGCAGTCTCTGGTTTACCTTGTCTGATGTGGCAGGCAGCTAGAACTTGGGTGGTGGCCTTTAACACGCAAGGAGAGGAGTCTCTAGGCTTGTTCTGAGTGAGCACAGGGTTGGTTGGCCTGTGAGGGAAGAGTGATTTCCAGCAAGACCCTCTATGGGTGTGGGACCAGCAGTTTACTGGGGCTGGTGAAAGGCCTTGGAAACTTCAAAGCTGGGCTTGATAGGCAAGATGAAGCCCAGAGAAGGGAGGAGGGCTCATAGGATAAAGATAAACTCCCTCTTCCTGCCTATGTTAGTGTGACATGAAATGAGGCTCCACAGCGAGTCCCAGGGGTGCCTGGTTGAGGGGAATGAGGTAGAATTTTCAAGGAGGGTCTCTGGGAGAACAGACTTGCCCACTTTCAGGTGCAGCTGCTAGGCCCAGATGGCAGAAACCCCTCGTGTCCTTGGCAGTCACCGAAGATGGCAGTGGTGGCTTGAGACGTTTTAGTTAGGACTTCATGGGAGGCACTTTTGGTGTTGCTCTGTAGCCAAGACTGGAATGCAGTGATGCTGTTATAGCTGTTATAGCTCACTGTAGTCTCCCAAAACTTCTGAGCTCAGCGTCCTAAGTAGCTGGGACTATAGGCTCATACTACCATGCCCAGTTGATTTTTTCTTTTTGTGTAAAGGTGGGGTCTTGCTATGTTGCCCAGGCTGATCTCAAATTCTTGGCCTTCAGCTATCCTCCGGCCTCAGCCTGAGCCACCTCGTTGGTAAAGCTTTGAAGGAGTTTTGCCTTAATTTTGCTACATCCCACTTTCAGGACGCAACCCTCTGTTTCAGGAAACCCTTGGGATTAAGCCTCACCTGCTGGTCCTCAACAAAATGGACTTGGCGGATCTTACAGAGAAGCAGGTAAGATGGCAGTGTGGGTGTTCCTAGGTTGCTTGTATCTGGCAGAGGTGGCTTGACTCTCAGTGTCTGTACCCAGGCAGGCTTTGCCTTGCCTTTTTCTGACGCGGTTTCTCAATGTGGTATGTTTCCCTGTCACACTTAATGCAACATCCAAATGCTTGAGGTCTTTATACCTCCTGAGGACAGTGGTCAGTGCTGCTGGAGCCCCAATAACCTTTCCTTGGCTATGGAGCTTCTCTTCTCTGTCCCACATGGTGGCCCCATAGGGCTATGAGCAGCTCACATGTGGCTCCTGACATTTGTGACTTTTACATTTTACTCAATTTTAATTACTTTAAGTTTTAGCAGCTGTGTGAGGCTGGTCTGTTCCTGAGGTCTTCTGTGACGGCTGCAGTGCCACAGGTGTTCAGTTCTGAATGCACAGTCTGAGATCCAGAAGCTGGAAGGCTGGAGGGGGCAGGGCGAGCTCCTGAGTTTCTAAAAGCTGAGCACAATCAGACACAGGTGACCCAGGCAAGGCATCTGGAGGAAAAAGAAGCATGAAGATTGTGGAAATGTCATGTTTTAAGTGCCCATCTCTGTTTTCCTTTCTCTGTTGTAAAACCCTTCAAAGAGTAGATATCAGAATCTTTTGAGTACAAGCTAGTTTTTTGAAGTTGTTAATGGTACAGAATTTTTCTTTTTGTTGCAGCAGCAATAAAACCTTTAAGGTTTCTCAGTTGACTTGCTACATCAAGGTTCTTCAACCACAACCAGAAGAATATTGCAGGTTTCCAGAGTGTTATTGAGAATCCTGCAGAAGATGGTTCCCAAGTGATGGCCACCTGCTGTGCGTGCTTGCAGCTAGGTCTCTTAGAGCCCTGCTCACTTAGAACCCTGTGCTGTGCAGTGCCATACAGTGCCTCTGAGGGCAGAATGGCAGTTTCCACTGCATTTGATGCTTTGGTTCTTTCTCATCACAGATGTGTTTAGTTACTTCTGTTAGTTGAGACTTTATTGGTGTTTACTTCTGCCCTTAGAATGCTAGTGTCTGTAGATTAGTGGGTGACCATCTAGCACAGAGTCGCAGCACTGTCTCACCTGGTTGGGAGGTAAGTGCAATGTCAGGTGCTTCTACAGCGTCAGGAAGGGAGCAGCAGAATACTAGGCAGCTCCATCACCTGCCTCCTCAGGAGGGGCGTCCAGGCGAGTCTCTGCTTGGAGTGTGGCTTCCTGAGTGTGTACTGCTTCGTCTGGTGAGCAGTTAAAGCTAACTGAATGAAGGACTGATTTTGTTTTTCATTTAAGCATCGATTATATTTTTAGGTCAGTAGCTGATCAAACAATACAGCACTGATTTTTTAAATATGATACAGCTTTACACTGATTTCACTGAATGGTTACTTACTTTCTTTCTTTTTTTTTTTTTTTGAGACAGAGTCTCACTTTGTTGCCCTCAATGGAAAGCTGTGGAGTCATAGCTCACAGCAACCTCAAATGCTTGGGGTTGATTCTTTTGCCTCAGCCTCCCAAGTGCTAGGATTACAGGTGTGATCCCAGCTATTTTTTTAGAGACAGGGTCTTGCTCTTGCTCAGGCTATCTCCTTTGGCCTTCCATTGTGCTAGATTACAGGCATGAGCTGCTGCGCTAGGCCCTTGATTTATTTCAGTGTTTAAGTTGGCAAATTTATGTTAACCTTTGTTTACTTTTGGGCATCTAAAGTATTATATATACTGTATTTCCTCAGTTTGGGTTCAGATATTAGTTTAAACTTGAGTTCATTTTGTGAAAGGCAGTCAAAATACACGAGAGTAATGAGGTTTCTCAGTGAGGACCTGACCCATGTGGTATCAGTGCTGGGAGTAGCTGTAGAGCAGCCTGGCTCATCCTCACTGTGTACATAGCAGTGCCGATGTCCAGGGGCAGGCTGTGTCTGCTGCACCCTGACCCCTGGCAGGGCCTGGAGTGCAGGCCAGGGATAGTACTGTCCCTGCCCTGTGGACCCTCCCTTCCTCTGGCACCTCTCATTGCCGGGGCTCACCACTACCTGTGCCCACGTCTGCCTCGTTCCCAGTTTGCATGGCCAGGTGTACAGCCTGCAGTGGCTCTCAGCATCTGAATACTCCTGGCAGAGCCAAGCCTTCAATCTCAGACCCTGAAACAAGACTGTGTCATGCCACCCATGTTTTCACTCAATATTTAAAATGGAAATGTCTCTTTCAGAAAATTATGCAGCACTTAGAAGGACAAGGCCTAAAAAACGTCATTTTCACTAACTGTGTAAAGGATGAAAACATCAAGCAGGTAGGCTGTTTTTATTTATGCTTGAGTTTTTGCTTCAGGATGTTCAGAGGGTAATGTAAACTATTCTACGCTTTAATAAGAAGCAGAGTTTCAGGAATGATCCTAGGTGTTGGTGTCCAGCTGACTCATGGGTGTCTGGGAGTCTCCTGGGGGTAACAGTAGGGTTGGT